AGGTGATAGAATTCGGACTGCGGCGCCCAAGGATTTCCACCCAGACCGGGAACACGCTCTCTCCCAGAAATCCATCATCACTTTTCTGGGGCAAGATTCCTCTTGGAATATTAGAAGCCCCCCTCCATTAGTAGCCCCTCTCCAATAGAAGCCCCTCGCCGGAGGTGTTTGGAAAAATAGAAGCCCGGGTCACTATCGGAGGATTTACGGTATCAGTACTCCACTAGCTACATTTCAGGGCGATTCCAAAGCGCGATTCGGCTATATGCGCAATCCTTGTCCTCACGCAATTCCGTTGCCGCGCGATTTCCACTTCTGCGCTATTTCGTTGACGCGCGATTTTCACTTCGCGCGGTTTGAGAGAAGTCCCCACAGCGAGTCCGTCAAGAGGTCGTGATAGCGGTTGGGCCGGGAAAGATAATGGAAGAGTTTTGGGGTGGGATTAGCGTCCTCCCTTGATAGCTTTGGCAGGAATGATAAGGACTGTCACCTCCGATGTGCGCGTTCGCTTCGTCCTCCGGCCGTTTTCTACTGCAGAGGCACCTAGATCACTAGATCGAGGACGTTCGGTGACTTGATTGGAACTCGTAAGGGCTCCGAGGAAAACTAACGATAGGCCTCGAGCTATTGGAACCGACAATAAGCTTTCGTTATACTGGAAGGTCACCTTCGAAGATAAGAGCGCCACGGGCGTAGTTTTCCGAAAAGATGGGACGGATATCTTCGTCAAAGCAGTCCGAGAGGTGATTCTCTCCGCGGGCGCTCTGAAAACCCCACAACTATTGCTACTCTCCGGCGTCGGACCCAAGGAGCATATCGCGGATTTCGATGTGAGTTTTCAGAACTCGCTATTCCCCAGTCAGATCTTGAGAATGCGAATGTTTTATCAGCTCGGAACCTCCTCCGGCAGGTCAGACTGGTGCATGATTTGCCGGGTGTGGGTCAGAATTTCCAAGATCACGTAGGTTTCATTGGCCTCTTGACGGAAGTACCAGAGAGTGCTGTGGTCGATGTGAACGACGTTGAGGCGATCCAGCAATGGCTAGTGGATAAGTCGGGTGAGTCGGGGAGGAAGACAACCTGATGCCCGTGGGATTCCAACCGAATGGTTGACAAATCCAGACAATGATCACCCTCATATCTTCCACCTGTACTCTAGGGCCTATGACTTCTCCGGCCGGACTACATTATGGCGTTCTCTATGCGAATGTCACTGTGGAAAGGAAATCAGACGTTGAAATGCTGTTCTTTGCGCTCAAAAATGCGAAAATCGATCTCGGCCTGGAAGCGGAGGTGAGTGACGGTGATGATACTCTTAGTAAGCTATCGAACACAAGGTCAGCTTGAGACAGGCACCCGGTTCTAGGTTACCGATTCAATCTCCCGAGGAATAAATTCCGACCCTCGAAAATTCCGACGCGATCATGAAGCTGGATTATTGTTTACTTCCAGACTCTGATGTCTTTTTATGGACCTGTCTTGGAGAAGAATTTACTGCAGCCGCTCCTCGTTCTGATGCGGCCGAAATCCCGGGGGCGCGTGGGCCTAGTAAGCTCAAACCCCTTCGATAATCCCTCCGTGGACCCTCGATACTTAAGCGATCCTCAGGATGTCAAAACGCTGGTGCAAGGTAAAGATTCTCGAGTCATGAACCTCGTCTCAGGTCAACCCACAGGTCTCCACAAGCACTCTCCCGCCCCTCTCTCAGCCCGGTGGTTCCCTTGCAACAACTCCTGAAGACAAGGCCAACACCCTCGCTGAGGTTTTTGCAGAAAACTCTAAACTTGATCCCGGCAACAAAATCCCGCCCCCTCCTTCAGGCGCTCCTCCCTCCATGCCCCAAATATCGTTCCACCAGTCCTCGATCCGTAAAATCCTCGGCACCCTTGATGTTTCCAAGGCCCCAGGCCCTGATGGTATCCCAGCGATAGTTCTCAAAAAATGCGCCCCAGAACTCACTCCTGTACTCTGTAGACTTTTCTCTCTCTCATTCGATTCAGGCGTATTCCCCGTTTGCTGGAAGCTTGCCCTCGTTCAACCTATCCCCAAAAAAGGCGACAAATCTTCGCCCTCAAATTATCGTCCCATTCCACTCGTCTCCATCCTATCCAAGGTTATGAAAAAGCCGTGAACTCCCAGCTCCTCTCCCATCTCGAACAGTCCTCCCTCATTAGTGATTGGCAGTATGGCTTCCGAAAGGGTCGCTCCACTGGCGATCTTCTGCTCTACACAACCCATCTTTGGAATTCTGCTATTGAAAAACATGGCGAGACCCTTGCTGTTGCTCTGGACATTTCCAAGGCATTCGACAGGGTTTGGCATGCCGCTCTCCTCAATAAGCTCCCTTCCTTCGGTCTCCAACCAAATCTCTGCAACTGGATTTCAAGCTTCCTTAGTCAACGTTCTATTAAGGTTATGGCCGACGGCGCCCTCTCAAAATCATTCCCAATCAACGCAGGTGTACCCCAGGGCTCTGTACTCTCTCCAACTCTCTTCCTGTTGCACATCAATGATCTTCTCGCCTCCACCACAAATCCCATACACAGCTTCGCCGACGACAGTACACTCCATGCTGGTTACTCTTTCACGAAGCAGCCGACCTCTACTCAAACAAATTCCTCTAGAAACACCTTGCTCTCCTCCATCGATTGCGATCTCCAGAAGATTCTGCAATGGGGCTCAACTAATTTGGTCCGGTTCAATTCCCTGAAGACGCAGCTTACCCTTTTCACGAAGAAAACCAAGCCTTTTAGTCCTACCATCTCTTTTGACAACGAAACGCTACTTCCTTCATCGAATATCTCTATTTTAGGCGTGTGCCTTTCATCAAACCTTAAATGGCACCATCACATAGCTAACATGGCCAAGTCAGCTTCCCAGAAACTAGGATTCCTCTTCAGAGCCAAACGTTATTTTTCTCCATCTCACCTTCTTTTGCTCTATAAAACCCAAATCCGTCCCTCTCTTGAGTACTGCTCGCATATCTGGGGTGAAGCCGCTCCTTCATCCCTCTCTATCCTGGACTCTATTCAAAAACGTGCTATCCGTCTCATCGGTGATT